AGGAGACTGAAACGCTGTTGTGTCAATCCCATGTGTCAGCAGTGTAGTGAACGGACGAGAATCCATCTGTGTTATATTCGGGACATTGTGTACAACCTCTTTATCAATGTACACTTCTAAACAATTTGGTGGTTGGAAACTTTCACCGATACTTAATACGGTGTTCCACCCCTCATCGTCATTGATCGGTAATATTTTGTATTTGTTGGTGCACATCTTCTGTGTTATTGTGAAATTCAGTCTCATATCCACCACGTGAACTTGATTCTACACCATGGCCCTGAAATGTCTGTTGTGTGTAGCCCACTGCATAACATTCATTTGATTCATACATAGGAGACTGAAACGCTGTTGTGTCAATCCCATGTGTCAGTAGTGTAGTGAACGGACGAGAATCCATCTGTGTCATATTCGGGACATTGTGTACAACCTCTTTATCAATGTACACTTCTAAACAATTTGGTGGTTGGAAACTTCCACCGATACTTAATACGGTGTTCCACCCCTCATCGTCATTGATCGGTAATATTTTGTATTTGCTGGTTGCTTGCCACTGGCGATAAGGATATCTACATTTGAAGATCAATCGGACAGTTTCCCCGTAACTTGCCACCTTGGACATAAACATGTCCTGCAAATTGGTAAGTGTGGTGCTAAGTTGCACCCCATATATCCCTTTCGGCTCAGCATCATATGACACACCTTCATCGGGATCCCGAATTATATTTTCCCCCCAGTAGAAGATAATTGGAACAGTTGCCATATACTTGCTTCAATGAAACAATAAAGATTAAAATATCAACAATATACATATATCGAATTTTACTTATAAAATAATTAAATGAATTTTAAATCATTCAATTACAATTACTTGTGAGGCAATAACTTTATTTAAGTAATCAGTAATTGTAATCCAACAATCATTATTCATTTTTTAATTATAATACGAGTTAAAATAAACCTTGTGTTTTGGATTTTTTAGCTTTTTAAGAAAAAAGCTTACAACACACATAAAGAATGTTGGTTTGTTTGGACATAACTGTCTATGGAACTCCTATGTTCTCCTTTTTTCATTATTTATTACGATTAACATCATGCTCTTGTGCACGGTAAATGTAAACTTTATTTTTTCATGTTTCTTCTTCTTTGTTTTGATAACTTATGTTTTGGATTTTTTAGCTTTTTAAGAAAAAAGCTTACAACACACATAAAGAATGTTGGTTTGTTTGGACATAACTGTCTATGGAACTCCTATGTTCTCCTTTTTTCATTATTTATTACGATTAACATCATGCTCTTGTGCACGGTAAACGTAAACTTTATTTTTCCATGTTTCTTCTTCTTTGTTTTGATAACATTTCAGTGTTAATTTGATTTTTGTAAATTAACCTGCTTTTAGTTTTGTGTTCGTTATTTGAATTTGTTTAGGCGGACACTTAGTGAAAGGAAGTTGTGGGAGTTAAAAGACAATTTATATTTTCCTATAAGTGACATTTATATCATAAGTGACGTTTTCTTATAAAAATCAGCGCTCTCATTTTTGTCAATTTATATTTTCCATGGTAGAAAGAACTGTAGAGGTGAAACATTACTTTAATTTATATTTTGTCAGCTGTATATTTGTGTCTCAATTTGTTTATTAGTGTTTATTTTCTCATTTTTTCTCACTTATTTTTATTCGTATAAAACAACAGCTGAGATTTCATTTCTACGTGGAGTTTTTATTTACTTCCTATGTGGAGACTCTTATCTTTTCTGCGTGAAGGTTCTTTGTTGTCATTGCTCTCTTGTCCTTATTCAAAAAAAATATCAAAATAACTATACTTCTTGTCTTTATTCTTTGTTGTCATTGGTCTTTTTTTATTCTCATTCTTTTTGAGGTTGGATATGCTTAGTTCATATGATCATTTTTAGAATTCATACACATGTATAGATGTCCTATACAAAAATGTTTATTGAATTAGTGGCCAGAAAAAAATTTTGAATTACATAGCAGCAATAACTTCAGATTTTGAATAAATCTAAGAATACAAAAATGGTCATAGAACTGTACACAAAACGTATAATTTCATTTAGTAGAGATTAGTTTCATGAAATTTAACTTAGGAAAAAACGTTAATCTTTCTATACACTTAGTATTTTTAATTGAAATTCATATTTGTCATTTTTTTTAAAGATAAAATTGACTTTAACCCCCTTTGCTTTACTCCATGTGTGATTTACCTTTGATATTTGAAAATAAGAACATAACCCCCTTATGACCTAGCACATGTTTCATACTTGATGTTAAATTGGATTGAACATCTGACGGTATACTTCATTTAGTCCACAAACCACAAGAACATTATAGTTATTTCAAAATTATATGGGTAGTTTGCACATGCACATTGAAGTGAAATTTGCCCTTTATTAAATATGCACAATGTCTTGAATTGAATAAATATACCTAGAGGGTAAAATAGTAAAGTGAAATAAATCAGGTGACAAATACCATTTCTCATATAGTATAATAGACGACAGATTCAAGTATACAACCCCACCTTGATATTACCAAGTGAAATATTGAATAAAGGTGTATATATATGTAGTACTATTATAAAGAGAAGTCTTCTCTAGGTGTTTATGTCTCATATTTTGGGTTTTTCAAAAATACCCCTATATTACTTATATGGGCAGTTATGCACTAAATTCATTTTTTTTTTTCAAATCTCTCAACTTTTGATTTTTTCAGATTCATTTCAATTTTACGATTTTGAATTCAATCATACAGTTTACAGTCTTATTTTTTGAAACAAAATGATCATATATACGTAAGCATGTGGATCTCGAATTGAAATTGGCAGTCTACCTTAATTCTCAATTCATGAATTTCATAATATGAATTTCAATTCTCAATTCTCAATTATATGAATTTCATAATATGACATTAACAATTCTCAATTATATGAATTTCAATTCGCATAATTTTATTCTTAATTAAAAAAAAATTCCTTTTATTAACAAGTAAAAAATAAAATTTCCAATTCAACAAATATAGGTTGGTTTATTCACAATTCAAAATTCCAAACCCCAATTTCAAAAAATATAGACAGGATTCACAAGCATAATTTCTGATTCACGAGCAAAATTCCAAACCCTGATTTCTGATTTCAAAAAATTTCAAACCCTAATTTCTGAAACCACAAGCATAATTTCTAATTTCACAATTCAAAACCCTAACATATTTCATAATTCAAAAACCTAACACATTTAACCACACATTTCATAATTCAAAACCCTAACGCATTTATGATTTCATAACCCTAATTTCTAATTTCATAATTTATGATTTCACATTCAATTGAAAACCCTACAAAATTTTCACAATCCAAAACCACAACATTTTTTACCAATTCAAAACCATACATTCACATTTTCACAAACACAATAAACACATAAAATTCAAATGAGACAAAGAGAGATAGATGTCATACCACGGACAGAGAGAGAGCAGAGACAAAGAGTGAGAGCAGAGAGAGAGTCTGAGAGTAGAGGGAGAGCGAATGCAAGAGTGAGAGCAGAGCAGAGGGGAGAGCGAGAGTCGAAAAAAATGTAAGTGTAAAAAACGTGATTGCAAATGAGAGGGCTTGGGATTTTATATAAGTTGTAAAAGCGTGGTTTCAATCCACGCTTTAATTTATCAACAATGAAAGTGTGATTGTGAATCACGTTTTCTTAACAAAACAAATATGCACAGTGAAAGCGTGATTGCAAATCACATTTTCTTAAGAAACTAATATGCACAGTAGGGGTGGGCGCGGGTCGGTTGCGGCCACGGAACCTCCAATCCGCCATTCATCCGCTAGATTAGCGAATTGAAGAAAATCAATCCGCATCCGTCCGCCAATCCGGCGGATGGATACGAATCGGTTTGGCGGTTGGATACGAATCGGTTTGGCGGTTTGAAATTTTATAAATTTTCAACATAGTTCAACTTGTGCACTTCCTAAAAAAAAAAAAAAGTATTACAGTCAATGACTTAAAAAAGTATTACAATTACTGCAAGTCTCATCCAAAGAAAGAAAGTTTGAAACTTTAAATTATCACAATCACTGCATGCCTCATCCACATATTACAATCACAGCATGTCTCGTTCACATAAAGTATTACAATCTATGGTTCTTAAAATATAAAAACAATTCAAACCACCAAAACCATGAACAGAGCAATAGTAAAGATTATATGTCTCTGTATTGTTACATTTATATATGTTTTTGAAAACAAAAATCAACCAGCATATATCATATTTTCTATTTATTACTTTTAGAGTTAGATTTAAAAATAAAAAAATAATACGTTTATTTTTTTCAATTAAAAAAATATATTCAAGCTGAAAACTTTTTTTCAACAAAATATTTGAACTATTTTTCAATTGAAAACACAAACAAAATATTTAAACAAATTGAAAACACAAAGTCTTATAAATTATTAAGGGTGCTCGCGGTTTGACGGTTCAGTTGCAGCCAAAGGAACCTCAAATCCGCCATCCGTCCGCCAAATTGGCGGATTGGAGAAAATCAATCCGCAACCGTCTGCTCGTCATCTCGCATCCGTCCAAAATGCGGCGGATTTGTTCGGTTCGGTCGGTTTTGGCGGATCGGTATATTCGCTGCTCACCCCTAATGCACAATGAAAGCGTGGTTTGGAATCACGTTTTATTCAGAAAACAAATAAGCACAGTGAAAGCGTGATTTTAAACCACGTTTTCTTCAAAAAACAAATTTATCTTAAAAGCGTGTTTTGTAACCACGCTTTCTTAATTAAAAACGTGATTTGTAATAGTGCTTTCACTATTTAACAAATTTTTTGCTCCAAATAGTAAAAGCGTAATTTGTAATAACGCTTTATCCTATTTTGAGAATTCCTTCCAAATTAGACTTAATTTGAAAATTAAAAAAGTAATTTGACTTAATGTGGGAAAAAAAAAAAAAAAATAGTAAAGACGCATATGAAAATGGCATGAAAAGGTCCCAAGTGATAGCTTCTCCATTACCTATAGATATATACCACCTTCTCTCTCCTTCCGTTTGATTTCAAAACCTCGCTAAGATTCGGCCAAGGCCCAAGCCACTGTCGCCTACTTACTTCGCATTCTGCAATTCTGTCTCCTCTTTCAAACAACCCTATAATCGCTGGTTCGATATTTTTCTTTCACACTCAATCATCACATACACTTCATATATATATATATATATATGTATGCCTTTAATCGACCGTCGTTCAATCACAATTTTGGTTCAATGTGGTTGAATTTGACACTGTTAGCTATGGGTTGTTAGATTACAATTAGGGTGTGATGTTGTTTTTTCTGGGTTTGTACGAGTTCACCTTACAGAGGATTGAATTTGGGGGTTCTGATTGGATTGTTGGGTTAATCGTTTGAATTGAAGTTTAATTGATAATGAAGTAACGATCTTTAATACCATTTTGAGTGGCATAGATTGAATTGAAGGATTTTTGTGTGACCCCCCAAATCATGCAGTTTAGTTGTCGATTGTATGTTAGGTTATTGCATGTACGTGTTCTAAAATTTCCTATGTGTTTTGGGTTTGGTTTTCATGATGGTTCTATTTGGTGGGTTACCCTCATTTTAGCTTTGAATAAATAATTTTTGTCATTAAAATGATTCAGAAGAGGGAATCAATTTGAAGTTACACGGGAAGAGATTGATTTTCATACACCCAGTCATTTGGGTTTTAGTAAGATGTCATTTCTGTATACTGTTGTTGTTTTGATATGGAAATTTCTATTGGCAAATTGTTTTTGGAAGAGTTTTTTCTGAAGATATTTCATTTTGGGGAATATTTTGAAATTGTTTTTATGAATTATCAAACACTGGATTCGTACAAAAATAAAAACGATATGAAAACAGTTGGTGTTACCAAACTTTTTGCTGCTTTTGTTTCCGAAATATATATATTTTTTAGAACAATACCAAACATTTCTATTTGACTTCCTAAAATAATTCATGCAATCTAAAATGGAGTCGTAGGAAAGGTAAAAATTAGAATGATGTCGGTAGAATCTTATTGCTTGATGTTATTTTAACTATTGCTAGAATCTCCTTATTTGTTATAGAATTCTATAGCAGCATGTGTACCTTTATTCGACATAATATACTTTCTTCAGGGAATGAAGTAATTTGCTTTGTTGCTTGCTCGAGTCCTGACAATCACAGTTTTCCACTATGTAACTAACTAATGTTCCATTTTCTTTCTGTTTTGATGGTATCATGGTATTGTAATTGCTGTATATGCTACAATACAATGGTTTTGTGAAGATCACTAACATATATTAATGGTTGTGATTGTTTCAGAGTGTTTCCTCATTCCTGGTATGGCCAATAATGCTCAATTTCCTGGCATGCAGGTAGTTTGTCCTGAGGATAACTTTTTATTGTTCTTATATATTATCAAAATATATGTTCTTGAGTATTTGTATGCACGCTAATGGCTTTAGAAGGCTTGTGATGTGCCTCAGTTTAGGTTTTGATATGAAAAAGTTGTCAAAGAAATCATTTCATTGCGCACACTTTTTTTTTTTTTTTTTTTTTTTTTTTTCATGGCTTTATTCCGGTAAATTTAGAGTGAAAGGTGGTATCCTGGAGGCTCGTTTAAAAAGGGTAGGCGCTTTCTGAAAACAATCAAGGCAGGGTTTTCCGGTAGTCATCTAGTGCGACAATCGGTCAACCCAATTTTGAAGCTAGATTTGAATGCATATTTTCTCAAAACGACCTCACATAGCCAATTCAGTAACTGTATCAATTGAATAGGTTTACCAAGAGTTCTTCCTATTTGGAGAAGTACTTCACTGTCAAAGTACTCAATATGGAGCTTATCCGTCCTTCTTGCCTTAAGCTGATGATCTCCTACCGCCTTATCCCAACGTTAGGGGTGTTCCCACTAGGAGTGAAAAAAAAACTGTAAAACCGTTTGCACCGACCGAACCGGACTGAACTGGAGATTTTTGGTCGGTTTTATTCATTATCCCGGTCTATTCGGTTCTGTTAAGGATAAAAAGCCAAAGTTCAGTTCGGTTTTCGATCATTAAGATTTTGAAACCGCGTGCACCGAACCGCACCGAATAAAAAGGTAATATGTATTTGATCTCAGCCATCCATGGAAATACCTAGAGCTAATCTAAGCCATTCACGCACATGTATATATATTCTTTTTTTCATCAGCACAGCCTCAAACCCTAAGTTACCAACAAGCAATTATGTTCTCTCTCGCTCTTCTCACTCATCCGCCTTCGCTGGAAGCAGCCTCAAACTCTCACACTTCTACAATGCCATCAGCCCATTGTCTCACCCCTTTGTGATGAACACTGCCATCTCCATTGTTGACGTCTACACCGCCATCTAACTGGTGTTTGCTTCTCTATGGTTGACGTTTTCCTCAAACTCTCTTTGTCTACATCAGTGCTGCTTCTTCATGATTGATCCGTGAACAAAAAACATTGACAAACTTAAGGTATGTTTTTATAATTTTTAGGGTCTAATTTGTTGTTGTTGTTGTTGTTGTTGTTTTTTTTTTTTTCATGGTGTAAAATTATTAGGCTTAATTGATGTTGAAATTGGGGATCTACAAATCCCCAATCTCAATTTGTGCAAAATTGAAATTGGTGTAAAATTACGTTTTATTGGAATTAGGATCTTTGAAAACCTAATGATTCATTGTAGCACTAATCCTATGATTCAATTTTACACAAATCCTCTAATTTTACACATCCCAACCAGGGGTATGCTAGGATAGGTGAAGTACACCTTACGATGTTCATCATGATCAATTAGATCCTGATGTACCAGTTGGTACTAGAGGAAATCACTATGGTCGTTTAGCACAAAACCTTCTGAATGAGCTAGTGGAGACTGTCTTTTTCTGGATCCCGCTTGTTCAGAATGCTAGGTTCGGCCGGCCCGCATGGAGCCAAGGGGTTGGTGGCTTTGCCCAAGTTGCTTTATAAAATACTTGCCAGCTCATCCATAGAAATTCTATAAAGCATAAACCAAGATCCATAATACAAAAACCAAAATCAAAATAAGGAAGAAAAAGATATTGTGATGCCCCGGAACTTGTTTCAGAAGCTAGGACAAAACTTTCAAGTATTTCCAAGAACAATATCTGGAAAATTTCAAGAATGCTCATAAGAAAAATTTCAAAAACTTCCAAGAAACTTACAAGAAACATTTTTGTATAGTTTCACTCAATTTTTTTTTCTTACCATTTCTTTTCTCAAAGATTTGTCTTTCCTAATAGTGATACACAAAGTTTACAGAAAATTTCAAAATTCCTTTTAACTATATTACCCAATATTCTCATTTACCATACAATTTTGTGGTGTTTCATATTGGCATTTAAGAAGTTTCTTATTTAATTTTTCCAATATGCTTTCAATTTGTTTCCCAATCAATTATTGCTTTCGATTTCCCATGGTATTTTAGGGCATGTTTCATGTTTCCATTTCCTGCTTCAGCTTCCCTTTTTTGGCAACTGTGATTTTAGGGCTTACATGTTGCTCCTTGAAGCTATCTTAATTATTGTATATTTCATAAACTGAATGATGTTGGGCTTCTTTACTACTTGAAAATAAAGTTGAAGTGTGAAGATTTTCTATCTCTCTTTCTATGTGTGTGAGTGTGTCTAAACTGAATGATATTGGACTTCTTTGGTACTTGAATCAAGGTGAAGTGTGAAACTTCTCTTTGTGTGTGTGTTTGCACATGTTTTTTAGTGTATGCAGCAGCATTTTATTTGTCACAATTAATCCTTTTTAAGAACTAAAGGGAGATCCATTGTTGCATTTTAAGCACTTCAAAGCTTTTGAAGGAACACAGATTTAGTGTACTACGAGTATCTACTTCGTACATCATGTTTATGTTTGATTCTTTGGGTGAATCTCTGATGGTATGCTAAACCTTAACTTTCAGCATGAATGAAATATTAAATTGTAGTTTTTTTTTTAGCTTAGCAGTTAAAATATCCAAAATTTGCACTTGTAACTTGTTGCTCAAAACGAGATTGTCATAAAAATTCATATCCTGAGCTAAGAATAAGATCAACGTGTGTGCATTGTATTGTTGTTCGAGACATAACAATCATGGAAAGGGGCTTTTATATTGTCTATTTTTTGTTTTCTGAAATTTCAACTATCAGTTCTTTAATTTTAGTTCAAAAGTATGTAATATTTTCAACTATTGTCTCGAGAATCAAACATCACTGATAGGATACCTAGTGTTTACCTTTGGCTCTTCTCTTCAATAATTGCGTATGTGCTAGCTTTTTGCTTATTTCTGTTGCTCTTTTTGTTGCTGGGAAAGCCTCTGCGTCCTCCTATACCCCTGGGTCCTCTTCAAGGTGCTCCTCCTTCCATGTCAATGCAAGTAGGGTCTTCTTCCCTGCATTTGATAAAGACCTCTAACAAGGTCTTAAATAACGGTGGCGGTTACCATAATAGTAACGGTAGCGTTGACGCGGTTGTGGGGTGAAACAACGTAGTGTAACGGTGGCGGCAATTGGAACCCTTAATTTTTTAATTCTTCACACAACTTTAGGAAAACATATTGATATGTATGTTTTTATTTCATAATGACATTTAGTGAGGTTCAAAATGGTTTTTAGTATTTTTGTTTAGTTTTAAAGCATGATCCAATATATATACTATTTTTTATATTAGTTTTAAGTCGCTAGGAAGAATTTTCTTATTGTTGAATTTACTTAATTTTAAGTGTGTTTAGTATTAAAAATAATAGTCTCGTAAACATAAGTTCAAAATACAAAATGTCAATATAATAATGTAAAAAGTATATAACATGAAATCTAAATTTTGTTCAATAAATTTAACATAAGAGATATAGATGTAAGTTAATATTCAAATATAATTAAAGTGAAAAAGTAATGAAATCTTATAGAACTTCAAGTTTGGACATTCAAAACATTTACAGATAATATTTTTACTTAAGTTTTATGTAACCAGAAAAAAAGAAAGTAGACAAGAGCATTATAATTATATACAAAAAAATTATGTATTTTAAAAAATAGAAGCGTAATGGTCATAACGGCTGTAATAGTGTGTTGTAGCGTCAATGTAACGGCCGTTCCAGCCTTTACGTAATGGCGGCGCCCGTTGCGGTTGTGAATTTCTATCACACGCACACCGCTATAGCGGCCATAACCGGTGGCGGTAACCACCACAACCTTTACGTAATGGTTGCGGCACGGCCGCTTTTTAAAACCTTGACCTCTAACTTTCATGCTAAATACAATACAAACAAGCCATTTATTAATCAAATTTTGTGGCAGTTCCCACCTGTGGTTCCAGTACCTGTGGTACCAGCACCACAATCACAGCCTTACAATCCAGTGTCTTCTCAACAATTTCAGCAGGTTGGCCGCACAAACATTGGGTTGTCTTCTCACAGTCAACACTTTCAATTTTCTCAACCAGTGCAGCAACTACCTGCAAGACCGGGTCTGCAGCCACCACAGGCAATAATGATCCCAGAAGTTCAGGCAAACAGGCCAAGTATACCTGTATCACCACAACCCCCACAAAATGCTCAGATTCCCAATAATTATGTGCCTGGTTTAAGTGGCCCACGAATGCCTCTCTCTTCATCGTATACTGTAAGATTTTGCAAGCTTATGATTGATTAATTTCACTCATCAAAATATCTTCAGCCCTTAACTGAATTGGTATTACAGTTTAGCACTTCATCTGGAGGCCAACCACAAAGAAATGCTGATGCTTTGTCCCAGTATCAGCCAATATCCCAGACAAATGTGTCTAATTTTGCTGTTGGGGGACAACCTTGGCTGCTGACTGGAAGCCAGACCACAACCTCAGTTGTATCTGTGCAGCAGATTGGTGAACAATCTTCAGCTACAGCTACAGTTGTTCCAGTAAGACTCTTCTTGTTTTGTTGTCTTCTTTTCCGATTTTATTGGGAGATCTCTTCTTCTCCTTCAGTACTGTATTTCTGTGTAATATGCATAGACTTCTTCATGGTATGGATCCTGTTAAAATTTCAGGCAGCAATTGTGGAGCCTAGCCTTAATGAAAAGCTTCCATCAGATTGGTTGGAGCATACTTCTGGTGCTGGAAAAAAGTATGCTGGAAAAAAGTATGTGATTCTATTAGAGTCAGTTCTTTGTAGGTTTGCTTATTTCACTACTGTTTTTAGCTGTCACAAAATATGCTATTATTAACTGCTTCTGAAATATGACAATTTTATGTACGCTACTGTGGGAATTACTAACTTATTAAAAATTTCCAAAGACTGTTTTCGGGAAAAAAATTTCTGAAAAATGCCAATTTTTTAGGAAGCACTTTTTAAGTTTTCTAAAATTTTAAAAATTGTTTTTGCACAAAAATGGAAAGATGAGTGTTTTCAAAATTTTAATCATTTCTTGTTTCCAACCAACAACATGAAAAATGAAATAATTGAAAATGAAAACGATACCAAACATCAATTAGTTTTTATTTTTATTTTTCCCTTGTGGACTTGACAGATTTTTTCCAAGTAAAATCTTTGGTTCCTAGATTTAAGACAGTCATTCCTAGATTTAAGACAGAGTCTTTGTTGTACCACTATCAACTCTAAATAATTGGTACAGGGCTTTATTGAGTTGAGTTGTTTTGTTTTTTCTTTGATCAAGTAACATGCCTTTAATTTTCTTAACATAAAATTCTTGCAAGTGTTTTGAATATGCATAGAGAAAATTTAAATTGAATATTGTTAAATGATTATTCAATTAATTGTTTGTCTCTTGTATGACCTCCGGGGAATTGTTCAAGGCATATTATCATGGGCAAATGCCTCAATTCCCATAGACATGGTGGTTTGAACTTTCAGTTTTGTGCTTTGTTTTGTTTCTTTCAATATGGGAATCTTGAGTTTTACACCTCAAAACCTCTGGAAATGCCTAAGAAAGAAAGTACTTGTGCTTATGTTATACATTAAATGAGTAAATTGTATTTGTTTCTCACTAGTTCCTGATGCCACTAGTTGTGTTGCAAATGCAACAAATATCACAGTATCTGCTAATATCTTAGTTCCCGTTGCCACCTTCAATTGTCTATGATGAAAACAAGGGCCACAACTCTCTTTTAGAGGCTTTAAATTCCCTCACTCCTGCTTTAGCCTACTACAAGAATGGTTATTATGAGTTTTTTTATTCATAATTTTGATGCTACTAATTTACAATCACATTGCTAATTTTATTTGATATGTCGTTATAATACTTTTCTACTTGATTTATCCAGATATTATTTCAACAAAAAAACAAAATTATCTACCTGGGAGAAGCCTTCAGAATTAATGACACCAATTGAGGTGAGCCATTTATGAATGGTTGCTTTTCATGTAACATCTTCATGTCACTTTATTTGTGTTGTTCTCCTTCTGGTTGTGGAAAAATAGTTTATCAGAGTTCTTGTTTTGCAAAGATCCTTTTTGCTGCACTTTTACATTTGCAGTTGTTTCAGCAAGTGTGGTGATAAATTTCTTCTGTGTGGTCGTTATTTGCTTACTTTCGAGCTTGGACTGTTTCATCTTATTATTTTTTGTTTGTTTCAATATATTTTTATAAAGTTGTTACTTAAAACAAATTTTGTTTCCGTTAAATATGTACTCATTGTTTCCATGCTAGGCCCTAATTACCGTTGTGTACTTGTGTGAACTGTGAAAAACTCATTTATATTTCATCTGAATAATCTTATTTGCAACAGAAAAAGTGTTTCGTCATTTTCGATGTTACAACTTAAAATTAGAGTTGTAAATTCAGCTTGATGTTGTTTTGGCTGAAACTCTCTTTCTCTCTCTCTGCTAATCATTTTCTTTGGGATTTGTTAATAGGACTTTCCGTTTGTTCAGTGCATTGGGAATTTCATATCCAATCAATAAAATTTAGGCTATTGACGTGATATTTTCTTGAGATTTTTAGTTGTTATTCACACTTTTTACAGCTGCATGCACTTCCATAATTCTTGCAATTCCCGGGGAGTCAATTTTCTTCAAAGTCCTACAATCATATAGTGGACTTTTTTTTACTTTGAAGTTCATTCTGGATTAATTTGTTCTCCCTATTTGAGTTGGTTGACTTCTATAGCTTTCGAGGTGCTTACAGGTACCTGCTGTGCTACTCTATTGAGAGGTAGGATGTGCTATGGGTCTTTGCTGCTTGTACTACCTACTAATAGCTTGAATGTTAGTAAATTCTGTCATTTTAATTGCATCTTTGCTTGCCACAAATTTTTTTTCTTCTTTTTTTGTGTGCATCTATGCTTCATTGCTTTCTTAGTAAACATGGTATTGCTTGTAACCTTAGTATTCATTTTGTTACAGCTTACGTCGTCTTTGCATTCATAGAAATAAAATAACTTTGTTAACGTGTCCTATGTATTGCTAAATATATACCTGTTCATTCCAGTGTTGAATACAACAAACTATCCTGTCTTTCTTGAGAATTTTCAGTGAAACTATGGTTACACTCAAGTGTTTAGAGACATCAGTATAAATTTAAACATTGTAGAAGGGAAAAATTTACATGTCAAACACTGTCATCTTATACAATTCTTGAATGCATAAGTTGAATCAAATGTTACTTGGAATTTATATGGTCTCTATACATCCAATGGAATTGGAAGTGCTACATACTCTAAAACCCGACACATGAGGGGTAGGCTTATGTGGATCAATAAATTGATTGTATTGTGGTGTTATTTATTTGTTTTTTGTTTAATGTGTTGGGGTATGTCTGGTGGCAGAGTGATTTTTTTAATATTTATTTTAAAGATGGATGATTAATGAGACATATGTTGATGAAATGCACAAGTTTGTTATGTTGAAGTAATCTTTCGAAATATAGAAATAAGTGTATGCAAGTTTAATGCTTCATGTGCCATTGCTGTTTCATTAAACTTCTGTCGAAAAACTTGTCTTAAAATTTGTTAGATTGCATTTGATTTTAAATTCATTATTTTTACCTCTATTCATAAAGAAAGAAACTGAGGGACACTAAACAGGAAATTGTTTGTCAGATATTTAGAGTATTGGAATGGAATTCAGGATGTGCTTTTCAAAACGTAAATTGCTAGGCTATGATTGTTTTCTATGAAGTCTGGTTGAATCTCATCAATAGATGGTTTCTAACTTCTACTATCCACTTTTTATGTATGACGATTGCAAACTGACCTATTAATGAAGTTTTAAGTCTAATCTACGCAGCAATCCGATTAGGAAATAAGTCTGTACGTTAGCCATTTACTTCTAAACACTTAATGGACTTCAAGGAAGAATGAAAAGCAATAGAGTCATGTGTCTGAACCAGGATAAGCTCTAACAGATGAGATTTTTCCTATAGACTAGAAGACCAAAGGAAGCCCTATTTGAGTAAGGACTATGGAAACATCACCTTGGCTCACAGCATTGTCCAGTTTTGAATATTTCTTGTTTTGAATCTTGATGCATCTCTTGGCCAGAACTCATCAACATTTGATTTCTATGGCACCTTCACATGCAGTCCCTTTGTATAATTGATGATGATCAAGTGGTGAAGCTCCACTTTAGACCAATTAGATGAAAGGTCAATTGTTATTACTGGTTCCATATGAGTCGATACTTGATAACTTGAGCTCATGTATCTCTTAGATACTCTTTGTGGCCCTTCTTTTTGGCTATCTAATGCATTTGTCTACGTAGCCTAGTAGACCTCCTAGCATGAAGACAATCTGGTTTCTGAACCTGTCTTGGTCTAGCTCTGTCTGCTTGATCACTAATTATTTGCTAGCAAAGTTTTATCTCATGGTAATCTAAACATATTCTATTTAGATCTTATACTTTGAATGCACATATGAGGTATACAAGTCAGTTGGCTGGGTTTTGGGTGATGATGATTGTCATGGAATGTATCAACTATCAAGTCGTTCGACAGAACTGGTTCAATTATAACTATTATTAGGATGACTAAGAATGGGTTCATGGATGGTAGAAATATTGTCAGCTTTTCTTGTTACCCTTTTCAATCTGTAATCAATAGCATTCATCTTTGTCTACGTCTTAATCAGTAGATGCAGAATGTAATATGATTTTGAAGGATGAACTGGATGTCGCAATGTGATACATGGTTTCTGTATTCTCATATCAAACCTTATTTTTAAAATATATATATATATATAAAGTATTTGTGTGGCTAAATAGTCTGCTGGTGGGATTTTTTATTTTATTATTTAAATTTTTTCATTTTATTTAGGTGATACATCTGGTGGCCCTTATTTGGTCGGATCCTATTTGATTTTGTAATTGAATGGTCTTCTCTTCTGTTCTCAGTTGAGTCCAGTTCTGTGCACCGTAATTGGTACTAATTTTGTCGTGGTGGCTTTTAGTGAAGGTTTGAACCCAAAGACAAAGGGCTTGAGGCAAGGTAGACTGTGCTGCATGCCACATGTTGTACTTCTGTACCTTAATTCAGTTACATTCTTCTATGCTTTGTTTGGCTCAAGAGTGAGCTGGAAGCTTTTGTTTGGCATGCATCCACTTTACACTTCCTGTGATGTTAGAGACTTCAGAATTAGCTAAAATCCTTTTTATTTACTTACAAGCTTGTTTGTAGACTAATTTTATCATTTATGTGAAGGCTTAATATCTTTTGCTCTGATTTTGCTGGATAGTGGCCTATTGTTTGTATGTTTCCTGCCTAGGTTCTGATTTTTTTACCTTCATCACCTGCAGGTAGCTCTTTTTAAAATCTTGTTTCACAGAGAGACATTTTCCTTGTTCTATTTTCAGTTTCCACTTACTTGAGTTTTTGCCAATGAACAGAGGGCAGATGCATCCACTGATTGGAGGGAATATAGGAGTCCCGAGGGAAGAAAGTGTGTAATTTGTTACATTTTCTTCTGAGTTCTTCATTTGTACTCTTTTTCATATGCCAATTTAGAAAATAATCTTGATAAGATTTATCATTCCCAGGTATTATTACAACAAGATTACCAAGCAATCGAAATGGAAAATCCCTGATGAACTCAAGGTTTCATCTTCTTACAAAACCTTTTTGACTGATCTTTTTTTGTTCTTCTTCTGATTGTTCATTTCTCCTGATCTGGATATATGTGCTTCCAGTTGGCTCGTGAACAAATGAAAATGGCATCTAGTAAAGAAACACAGGCAGGGAAGGATAATTCTCCTGTCCCTGCTGCTGCTGTTCACTCTATGGTCAAATCACCACCCCCCAATGCAGTTACCTCATCTTCCTCAGATCATGGCGTAGTGTCAAGCCCAATTCAAGTGGCAACTGTTTCTACTGTTGTGAATCCACAGCCTGTGTCAACTTCTGAGCAATTGCCCTTGCCTGTTGTACCTTCTACAGTAACAACAAATGTAATTGAAGTCCAGACACCTGTGGAAACCATCACACCAATCACTGCTGTTTCAGGGGGTGCCGAATCGTTCAGCACTTCGGTCACTACAGTCATGGCACAAATGTATTTCCTGCTTTAACCAGCTTTTCATATTATGGACATAGTTTTGCAATTGGCAACGATTTGAATCCATTTACAATGTGAATTCTTTCAGGAGTAATGACAATAACAATGCAGCTCAGGATGTTGTAAATACTGTTGATGGAGTTTCCCCAGGGGTTGCTGAGGTATTCTGAGTCTTTTTGATAACTTGAGTTTAAAAATGTGTTTAGTTACAAATACTTGATATCCTCTGCTGCCTTGTTTGTCCTGGTTTTATGGTTTGAAGGAAGCTGAGAAAGGCAAGGGAAGTGCTGGGAAAGTCAATGTTACTGCCTCAGGAGAGAAAACAGTTGTTCAGGAGCCTTTGGTCTACGAAAATAAATTGGTATGAACTAGGATTAGATTTCTTACTGTTTATTATATTTTTTCCATCCGTGCTGACCTATTTTTTCCTCTCTCTGAAGGAGGCAAGAAATGCATTTAAAGCACTTCTGGAATCTGCAAATGTTGGGTCTGATTGGACCTGGGATCAGGTAAATTAGTTATTATGTGTAATTTTCATTAATCTGCACAATTTAGCGGGGTCTTGATAGTAACAGTGAGTTGCCAGGCTATGAGAGTAACAATTAATGACCAAAGGTATGGTGCACTGAGAACTCTTGGAGAGCGGAAGCAAGCATTTTCTGAGGTATATATCTACATCAGTGAATTTCTTATTGCATAGAGCAGTAGTCTTGCTGCCCAAATTGTTTAAGTGCTGTTTCTTACTTTATTTATTTTTAATATATGGCCGTATTACTCATTTTAGAAACTTTATGGCCGCAGTTCTTGATACAAAGGAAAAAACAGGATGCTGAAGAGAGGCGTGCTAGACAGAAAAAGGCACAGGAAGAGTTCAGGACAATGTTAGAAGTAAGTTTTTTGCTGTTTTTGGAATTTTAGGTTTATTGATTTTGAATATTTTCTTTCTCCTAAATTTCATTTTGATCTTGTTCTCTTTTGTTTGGATTTGTTCACAGGAGTGTAAAGAGTTGACGTCAACCACGAGATGGAGGTCTATATTTGTTGTTATGAGACGTTGGATTTGCCTTTTCTGAATATGACAATCTTTTGTCTATATCATGGTCATTTGAGTTTTGTGACATGAATTTTGGTTAATGTTTGCATATGGTATGGTCAACATAATTGTAATTTTCATGTATTAACTGAGATTCTCAACAATTATTCAGCAAAGCAATAGCTATAATCGAAGATGACGAACGTTTCAAAGCTGTAGAACGAGCTAAAGACCGAGAAGATGTTTTTGAAGACTATATAGTGGAACTCGAGAAAAAGGTGCAATTTTTCAACATTAACTTTGCTTTTTATGCATGTGATAGAAATGTAGAATTGTCCTCCACCTTCCTCTGGTTCTTTCTATAATTGTGGCTTTCTCTTCCCGTCCCATTTTCTCTCTATAGCTATACTATTATATGAAGGGAATATTTGCTTTGGTATATTTTTCACTTTTTGATTATAGCTTCCTCCTTCACTGCCACTCCATTTTTCTCTAAGAGATGGATGTGCTAGTTGGCATTTTGGATTCTTGATTCATTAGTGGGCTGTGGTGGTTCATTTTTTATTTTTGTGAATGAAGATGAATAAGAAAGTGAAGCTTTGAAGTCAAATTTGTTATAATATTTATTGTACAATACAATATGAATCACAATAAAGTCTGATTCATGTTCCCAAATCCCGATCAATGCACTAGAAGGTATGTATCTAAATTTGTTATTGATATCTTATATTACAAATCAGAGTGGCTCATTATATAGGAGAGGGTTTGGGTAGTAGGTGAGGAGTAAGTGAGGGTAAATTGGTGGTAGGTGTAGTAGGTGTGGTAGTAGGTGTGGTAGTAGGTGGTGGTAGGTGTAGGTAAATTCTAACAAATACAATATGAATCACAATAAAGTCTGATTCATGTTCCCAAATCCCGATCAATGCGCTAGAAGGTATGTATCTAAATCATTGTGATACAAGACATATCATACGATAGGTATCGTTTATTGCACAGTGCTTTGGTATTGTGCGGTCTTTGCAACTTCTTGGGTCATTTGGTTCGAAAGAAATGCGTGGGTTTTTGAAGATAAATTTCGGGATGTGGAATTTTTGTGGGATAAAATTGGTCACTTAACCTCCCTTCGAGGTTCCGTGAATCCTCTTTTTAGAGGGATTTCACTTTTTTTATTAGTTAGATTAGTGATTGGTTGCGGTGTGTGACATGTAGAAGGATTTTGATGTAGTCTTGCTTGGGTTATGTATTTTTTATTTTATTTTATTTTTTGTAGAAGATGCCTTATCCTCATTTCTTTCTGTTCATTAATAAAATTCTTTGTTGATCAAAAAAAAAATTGGACAACGTTGGTTTCATTAAACCCTTGGAATTTCGAAATTCTCAAGTGGTTGTGTCAGTGGCCCCAAAAATTGAAAGAATTTTGGCCAAAACAAAACAAAATTCAAATCCTTGTGCTTGAGAGAAGTACTAGGGATATTGATGGAAGAAGGGCTTCACCATCATGAGGGTAAAGTAATGTCATAGAAACACAATCTAAAATTTGCAATAAACATAATTCCATTTAATAGGAAGATTGTGTTGTTATTTGTGGGCTGCTGGGTATTGTACTCTACTAACTAGTAAGGCCATGGTTGTTAAAATCGGGATCCTACATAAGATTGGGGAGAGGGTCTCATGTATCGGATCGAGAATCATACGATTCTATTTATTAAAAATAGGGTCTAAATACAAATGAGGATGATGCACGTTAAAAATAAGGTAAAAAATCACAAACCCAACAATCCAACTTACGATCCTATATGATCCCCACACAATCTTACATGATCCTACTTGCGATCCTCCTACAACACTGATTCTACTACGATTTGGATAATTTTGGCAATTTAGGATCCTATGATTTGGATCGCGATTTTGATGACCATGATTAAGACTAAAACTTACAAATGGGAATGAAGAAATTTGGACCTCTAAAATTTTTCTAGACATAATGTAAACTACATAACAATCCAATGTGTCCCAAATAAGACCCATGGACCATACTGCAGCTCAGTTTCGGCAAATCCAAAAATAGCAAAATACCTTTGTTTTACATGATGCAGAAAAGTTAACATTGATATAACGAAGACTTAAAATCAACCCAAATTTTGAATAGACAATGTCCAAGCACACCCAATATGAAAATTTCTGATTTGCACTTACCTTACTTGTTATGCTCTTTATCGCTTTTCTTCCCCCACCTGATTATAATGTATTAATTTTACACATCTCTACAAACTTACAATTTGGAGTTGTTGTATGGTGATGGTAATGAAGTTTTGCAATTGCTTTATTAGTCGTGGAACTATCTGAAATTAAAACTTTGGATACACTAAATTTTAGTTATAAGGAAAAGCTATGGCCAAACTAGTTTTTTTTTTCCCCCTTCTATATGGCGGGCTTTGGTTTGACCATTATTATGCTCTAGATTTCACAACGTACTAGTTTATTAAATTTGTTCTGGAAGTTGAAGGCAGACTGCATGTGTGTCCGTACTGCTATTCTATTGTGATTTTTATCAGGAAAGGGCAAAGGCATTGGAGGAGCATAAGCGGAATAGAATGGAATACTTAAACTTCTTGAAGTCATGTGACTTTATTACGGTACTCTTTTAGCGGCCTTTTGATTTTCTATGCGAGTCGTCTAACTGGGTTCTTTTTTAGATCTACATTTTACCAAATATGTTATGTCTTCTTTTCAGGCAAGTAGCCAGTGGAGAAAAGTTCAAGACCGTTTGGAGGATGATGAAAGATGCTCACGTCTTGAAAAAATTGATCGTTTGGAAATTTTCCAGGTAATATTCCTCACGTGAGTATCATCACTTTTGAATAGTCAGTCTAGCTTTTTTTTTTTTTTTTGGTTCGAGAGAAAATTAACTTAGAGAATGATTAGACAATCACCCCCTTTTATATTGATAATAGGTAGCTTACAATGGAAGTCTTGGAGGCACAAATAAGGAAATAACAGAATAAGAAGATAACAGCTAATAGAATAAGAAAGTCCTAAGGTACTAATTAAGGAATCAAAATATAATATAAATAAGGAAACAAATAATAGAATGATCCTAACATATATTCTAACTCTCTCCCTCAAGTTGCTGCAAAGATATTTCTCATGCCCAGCTTGTCAAGAATATCATGAAATAGTTTACTGCTAACTCCCTTGATGAGGGTATTTGCAAGTTGTTCACTAGACTTCACAAATGGAGTACATATTGTGCCACTAGTGAGCTTCTCTTTGATGAAGTGACAATCAATTTCAACATGCTTTGTCCTGTCATGTTGAACAGGATTGTGAGCTATGTTGATGGCAGGCTTATTATTACAATATAGCCGCATGGAGTATTTTTGGTCAATGATCTACAAGAGCTCACACACCTTGTGCCATAGCTTTAAATTCAGCTTTTGCATTAGACCTAGCAATCACAAGTAACCAAATTGCCTCCAATAAAAGTACAATATCCCGAAGTGGACCTCCTATCAGTTACTGATCTTGCCCAATCAGCATCCATATAAGCTTTCACACTAAGATGATCATGTTTGGAAAAATAAATACCTTTTCCAAGAGAAAATTTCAAGTATTTCAAAATTCTCATAACTGCCGCCAAGTGTATTTCATGAAGAGCATGCATAAACTGGCTAACCACACTAACAGCAATAGCAATATTATGACAAGAATGGAATAAGTGAATAAACTTATTCACTAGTCTTTGATAACTCTCTCTATCAACGGCTGCTCCCCCACTATCATTACAAAGTTTCTGATTAGATCCCAGTGATGTGTCACAGGCTTTACTTCCAAGCATCTCTGTTTCCTTCAATAGGTCAAGGACATATTTTCTCTGACAGATGAAAATCCCATCTTTGGACCTAGCACTTCAATCCCCAAAAAGTACTTTAGGTTCTCCAAGTTTTTGATTTCAAACTGATTAGCCAAATATTTGTTCAACAAAGGGATTTTCTTAACATCATCTCCGGTAAACACTATGTCATCCACATATACAATGAGAGCTGTAGTCTTACCATGAGGGAAATGTTTAACAAGTAGAGTATAATCATCCTGACTCTCTTTGAAGTTATATTTTAGTATCGCCTGAGTGAATCTCTCAAACCAAATCCTAGGGGATTGAGGCCATATAATGACTTCTGAAGTCGACACACCTTTCCCTTAGTTTGAAGAGTTTCAAAGTCGGGAGGAATGTTGATATACACCTTCTCTTCTAGGTCATCATGCATGAAAGCATTCTTCATATCAAACTGATGAAATAGCCAGTCCAGATTAGCTGCCAGAGAGAGAAGTACTTTGACTAAACTTATCTTTGCAACAGGAGCAAATGTCTCTTGGTAGTCCACCCCATAGGTCTGATTGAAACCCTTTGCCACAAGTCGAGCCGTATACCCTCAATTGAACCATCTGCCTTGTGCTTTACAGTATACACCCATTTGCATCCCACAGTTCGTTTGCCCCTAGGTAACTTAGTCAAATCCCAAGTGCCATTCTTATGAAGTGCTTTCATTTCCTCCACTATGGCCAGTTTCCACTCAAGAATAGTAAGAGCATTTTGAAAATGATTAGGTACTAACAAAGGAAATTTTTGACACAAAAGCTTTATATGAAGAGAACAAATGAGAATAGGACACAAAACTAGAAATAAGACGATGAGTACTAGATCTCACACCCTTTCTCTTGGCAATGGAAATATCAAGATCTGTAGGCTCAGACTCAGAGATAGTAATATCAGGAATTTCAGGATTATCTGGACCTTTATCAAGAGAAGGAGACGGCAGTGATTGATCAGAAATGGTTTCTTGTATCCAAGTAACTTTCTGCCTTTCTTTATCCCTAATATAGACTTGCCCTTCTCTGTTCTTGACAACATCGGATTCTATATTGCTAGTAATAGGAGAGTAACTTAAGAACACACACTTGAGAGAACGAGGATCCAACTTACCTCGAGAAGGAGAATGATTGTGAACAAAACACACGCAACCAAAGGTTTTTGGGGGAATGGAAAACAGAGACTCAGAACCTAAGAGAACTTGAAGAGGTGTCATTTTTTGTAAGACTCGTGTAGGAAGACGGTTAATGAGATGAGCAACAGTGAGAACAACCTCGGCCCAATGGGCCCAAGGTACACCCATATAGAAACACATACATCGAGCCATATCAAGGAGATAACAATTCTTATGCTCAACAATCCCATTTTGTTAAGGGGTGTCAATGCAAGATGTTTGATAGATAATGCCATGAGTGGAAAAATATTTTGTCAACCCAAAATCAATGTAGTCACCCCTCCATTATCAGAATGCAATACTTCGATAACTGCCCCAAATTGGATACTAACCATCTTGTGGAAGTTTTGAAACACAGAAAAAAACTTCACTTTTTTCTTTCATGAGGTACACCCAAGTAACATGAAAGGAGTCATCTATGAAAGTAACAAACCATCGATGACCTTTCATTGACATCACACGAGAGGGACTCCAAACATCTGAATGAATTAAAGAAAAAAGAGTTGAACTTTTATTATTACTTGGAGCAAAAGAGCCTCGATGTTGCTTGCCAAGTTGGCAGGACTCACAATGAAACTCAGAGACTTTATTTTAACAAAAACAGAAGGAAGTAAATGTCTTAAGTAGGATGTCCCAGACGTCGATGCCCTAACTATAAATCTTTCATGGTAGATGGAGACTGGATGGAATGAGGAGCCTGCTAGTCAGTCTGATCTAGGATATAGAGACCATTTTCTATTTTACCACTGCTAATCGTCGTCTTTGTGATAAAATCCTGAAAAAGACAAGAATCAGGAAAAAAAAAATTACACTACAATTCAAATCTCTAGTAAGACGACTCAATGACAATGACAATAGGTTAACAGAAAAATTAAGAACATGTAAAACAGAAGACAAAAGTAGAAAAGGAATGGCACGGATTAAGTCTTTTCCGAAGGCAAAAGAAATGGTACCATCAGCAATCTTAACTCTATCCTAACCAAAGGTTGGTGTATAGTCTGAAAAGAGATCAGAAGACTCAGACATATGATCTTAGGCACCAAAATCAATAATCCATGGCAAGGCCTTATGGGATAAGAAAGCACTAGAAGATGAGGCTAAGTTACTTGAACGGGCAAATGAAGAAGAAGCAGAAGATGGACCTGGAGGAATAAGAGACCAACAATCAAGCAGATTGTACAGAGCATCTTCAAACTCAGAAGATGACATACCAGAGATCAGATCGGAAGTCTGTATAACGGGAGCTGAATCATGTGTCTTTACAGCACTAGATTGATGAACACGAGAGTGAGACCTATGTCCTCTCGAATGACTAGAACGCCCGCCGCTATGACAAGAGTGATCTCCTCGACCCCCTGATGGAGTCCCATGAAGCTTCCAACAAGTCTCAAGGGTATGCCTCGGCCGGTGACAGTAATCACAAAACAAATTATCCTTCCCGGAAGGATGAGAAGAAAGAAGTGACAAATAAGCCTCATCCAGAGAAAGTGCAGAAAATAATGCTGAGCGGTCTGTAGAAGTCGGTGGTAACATTTTTGGACATAAACAAAGGCCTCTTGAAGAGATGGAAGAATATCAATGCCAAGGACATGACTCCAGACCAGGTCAAACTCCACATTGAGGCCTTTTAGGAACTTGAAGACACTCTCCTGGGCAAGAAACTTTTGGTAACCAACTAAGTCAACCATGTAGATAGGCTCGTCATCCAGAAGATGATCTAGGCATTTCCAACCATTAGTCAGAAAGGTGTAATACTGAACTGTCTGCTCCCTCTGTACTGAGCGCTCAATCGACCATCGCAACTCAAATGACTGAGAAAAATTTTCCTTTCAGGAATATGTAGTAGCTACTGTCTCCCAAACATCGTGGGCAGTCTCCATGGATAAATAATCTTCACCAATCTCAGGGACCATGGAATGAATGAGTCACCTTATGATCAAAGAGTTGGTAATCTCCTATTGATCATAGCCAGGATCAGAAATATCTGGTGCTTGAACTCTCCCATCAACATATCCCATCTTCACCCTACTCTCCAGAAAAGTACTCTAAGACCATTCAAGGTAATTTTGACCATTAAACAGAGAGGTGGTCATTTTGAGGTTAGGGTTCAGGTTCTCAAAAATAGTCGTCATAACTAGACTGGGACTCTCTCCTTTAGATGGGTGTGGAGTAGTGGATTCACTAGATGGGTCAACCATATTTATAATCTTAACCAAAAAACATAGCATTAATCACAATAATGGAAAGAGGGAATGGAACGTGCAAGCAATCTCAAACATAAACCACTATGGGAGTGTAACACTTAGATTAATGGGGCCATTTACCATCTGAAAGAATAAATAAAATGGAAAAAAAGAAAAGAAAAGAAAAAGAAAGGTGAAACTTCAATCAAAATAGCAGGTCTTGGGTGTATTGATGGTGGTTGGTGGCTATGTGGGTGATGGGTTTAGGGTTTTGGCTCTGATAGCATGTTTGTTTGAGAGAAAACTAACTTAGAGAATTATTAGACAATCACCCCCTTTTATATTGGTAATAGGTAGCTTACAATGGAAGTCTTGGAGGCACAAAAAAGGAAATAACAGTTAATAGAATAAGAAAGTCCTAAGGTACTAATTAAGGAATCAAAATATAATCTAAATAAGGAAACGGATAATAGAATGATTCTAACATATATTCTGATAATTTTGACTTGTCACAGGAACATCTACGCGATCTAGAGAGAGAGGAAGAGGAGCAGATGAAATTACGGATGGTACCTAGTGATAGTCTTGTGGTTGTAAAATTTTGCCTTTTGTTTTGATTTAGTCTTATCTTCTCTTCTTTTTTCTTTTTTGTTCCTTTTCCAAATAAAATAAAATAAACAGGAAGAATTGAGAAAAGCAGAGCGTAAAAATCGTGATGAGTTCCGCAAGTTGATGGAAGGGCATGTTGCTGCAGGCATACTTACAGCTGAAACTCACTGGCGGGACTACTGTACGAAGGTTGGTGTTTCAGTTTGGTTATGTTATTGGGACCATGTTTTTGACTCTACTAAATTATATGGATGACTCATGAGATACGTTGTGTATTTTTTGTATCTTGTATTAACTTTATTTTGGCCTTTAGGTAAAAGATTTACCTGCATATCTGGCTGTCTCATCAAATGCTTCGGGTTCAACAGCAAAAGATCTGTTTGAAGATGTTGCTGAGGAGCTACAGAAACAGGTAACCATGCTTGCCTTGTTAAACTCAACATACTATGAAGGTAGAAGAGAGGCAGTAGGTTTTTTGTTTTAACAGGGGTATGATATATTAGATGCAAACGACTTGAATCTTGGTCATAGGTCGTAAACCTTAATGAAATCAAAGTTTATAGCCCTACTAAATATGTTTTTGCTGTGGCATAAACATTGTCACATCATTGTAAGGGAACAGTGGCACACTTCATTACCGTTAACTATGCTTCTGCTGGATGATTTAAGCACACCTGTTCCACATTACCGTGTCTTGCTTTTCATTTTTGACTCTTCCAAAATTGAAAAGTTAAGATTTTTTTAGGACTGTTCTGTAGTATTGCTCTTTGCGACAAAATGAAAATAGTTCATTTTGCAAATGCGACAACCACAGTCAAGTCTTGCTCAGGGAAACTTTGGAAGAGTGACACCAAAAGTTTATATGACTTGTACTTTGTTTTTCTATTTTTTAATTTTTTTTTTTTTATAAAATAAACCTTTGCACTTTTCCAAACATAATGCTCAATGTGGGAAGCAGGGAATATTTAGTAGTATTGCTGCAGTGGCCTATGCTGTGTCCTGAATAAGAATTTTATTCTTCCTTTTGATAGAACTACTAGTGAATCATTCTGTAGTTGAAGAGGAGAAATTTCTTTGACATGAAGGAAATGGGGATCCAAATATAATACCATGAACAATACTGCTGCAGGATGACTTTATTTAATGGTATTGCTGCATTGACCAATGCTGTTGCTCCTGCATCATATTCTTTCTTTCTTTTAATATAATAAAAAATAACAATCAATTGAATTGTAATTGAAGAGGACAAGTTTCCTCGACATGGAAGAAATGGATAAGATATTTGATCAGATTTTCCAGACACGTCAGAAGCTATTAATTGTAACTTTAATGCCCTTCCCGATACAAATATTTCATTCATGCATTGTTGTGTTTCCTTGAATTGTCAATATGGGTGTCACGCAAATTTATGGCTGTACCTATGTTTGCATTGCAGTATCTCGATGACAAGGCTCGAATAAAAGATGCAATGAAGTTCAGAAAGGTATAATCTTTACAATTTTTGTTTCTTTGTTTTGACACATTATTGGTTTACTTGGTATCATGCATGTTATGTTTTGGTATGATTCAGATTGCTCTGTCATCAACCTGGACACTTGAAGACTTTAAGTCTGCAATTAATGAACACATCAGCTCTCCACAACTAGCAGATATCAACTTAAAGGTTTGTAGAATATCTGGTCAGAAAAAAAGCTTCTATTTATCCTTCAGCATCTCTTATTGGGCTCTGTTTGCTTGTACTGTTTGTACAATAGATCGATCTATGAGTCATAAATGCTGCACATGCTCAATAAACACATTGTTAGGGGGAACTGTTTATAAATGCTGTGGTGTCACAATCTTTAACATTGCCTTTGAATGTGCTTTTGGTTTAAAAGCATAAATTATTGAAATTTGATATTTTATTGGAAGGATTGAGTTGCTTGAGTAAAAGGTTTACAACCTCCATTCTGCCCCATATTCCACAGAAGTTGAATTATATTCTCTTATTATCAAGTGGCTTTTGCAATCGGTGGTGCTACATGCTCTAATTAGTGTACTAACTAGTATACCAACACTAGTTATGACATTATTATTGACCTCACTCATTATATAAATTACAAATACCAAAAACATCTTAAATTATACCACATCATCAATTGGTACACTAGTTAGGACACTAATTGGTGCATATAGTATTATTCTTTCCCAATACATTTCTAATGTCTCTGTTTTGAACAGAATTCATTGCACTTAATTTCACTTTTCACATTGTCAAATATATATATATTTTTTGGAGGACCATTATTGTTGTTTTTGTATCTTTGCAGCTTGTATTTGATGAGTTGCTAGAAAGAGTAAAGGAGAAGGAGGAGAAAGAAGCTAAAAGGCGGAAACGTCTTGCAGATGACTTTTATGATCTCTTGTGTAATTCAAAGGTGTAGTAAATAACCTATAGCATTGATGCTTTGATTGTGATGATTGGGCAATGCAAGACTTCTGCTTTATCTTTTTTTTTTTCCTTTCAAATTTTCATTTGATTGCTACTTCATTCAGGACGTAACTGCATCTTCAAAATGGGAGGACTGCAAACAACTCGTTGAAGATAGACAAGAGAGCTGGTATTACTTGTCAAATATTGAAATGTGAATTTAAGTCATTAGAAGAAAATCTAGAACTTGTTCACATCTCTTCCTATATATATATATATGTATTATTTCTCTTCTTTTAGGAAATTAAAATTGTTGTATAGCCTTAATGGTTTTGTGTTACTTTGCATTTCCACAAGAATTCAAACCAGCATTAGTGACATGTACAGACACCTGTTCGCCTGAATTTAGTGTTCATGTGTTTGGCACCTATTTAGATCTATGGAATCCTGCACCCTGTACTTGCTTTTGAAACATTCGGAAGAATGTACATTTGGTGCCATTATTTCCATTTATTAGGAATTTGCTGCAGCAATACTATTCCTCTCCTTATACTTTGATCATTCCTGATGCTTTAATGGACCCATGTCCTTTTTTGTTGGTTATGTACAGATGGATGGGGAAAATGATTGACAGTAATGTGTTCTTATTTATCTACCAAAAAAACCTGACCATAAACAATCATGCTTGGTAGCAACTACATGTTATGACTTGCTAAGATGCCACGTTCTGTGACTGATGCCCTGTATCCATGCTAAAATGTAACAAATGTGTATATATCAAGAAATTGCACCCAAAAATTAGTCTAATATTGTAGATCAAAGTATTTGCAAGCCTACCCTTTATTATTATTATTATTTTGAACTCCCACAAACTTCTATGAAATAATTTTCTCTCTGCTCTGTTTTTCGTCATGAGCTAGCATTATCACATGCCCTTGTGCAGGTTCAATGTGGAAGAGAGCTTCTTCAGGGAGATCTTTGAGAAATACATAACAGAACTGAAAGAGAAGGCAAAGGAGAAGGAACGAAAGCGAAGGGATGATAAGGTATCCAAAGATTTCTATCTCATTGTAGTTAAGATTTTTCTTCTCATAAATTATGAGCCTTAGCATTTTTTTTTCCATTTTCGGCATAGCATTTTGGCACTGTAGATACTAACATTGGGGCTGTTTGGGAAGTGATTTGGCCGGCTATTATAGCCTAAAAAAAAATTTTAGCCAAAAAGTCATTTTGCAAGCTTTTTCAAAAAAATAAAAAAATAAAATAAAATAAGGCCTGCACAGCGGCAGTGTAGGCTGTCAGCTACAAAATTTGATTTTTAGATGGTAAATTACGGTTTTATCCCTTGACAACAATTTAAAAAAATATATTTTTAGGGGCAAATTTGTCATTCTAATTTCAAACATCATTTCAACACATTTTTCAATACAACAACCCAAATAAAATTCATCTCAACTTCCCAAACACAAAAACTAAAATAGCCTACTAAAATAGCCAAAAAGCCAAATAGCCTACTAAAATAGCCACTTCCCAAACGAGGCCATTTACTTAAAACTATTTTTGCATGTTTGCGTGAGGTGCAGTTGTGTATAATTCAGTTTTCCATACAGAATCTGATATTATTCAAGTATTTTGCCATTATGACTACAATTCTGTGTTAGAATATGGCAATATGCTCAGTAAAAGTTGTGTTTTGTACCTATTCCTGTTCTACTTCAGTTCGCTTTGTCAGACACAATATTCTAATGTAGAGGTGGGGTGAGGCTTTAACGTTGTGGTGCAAGTGTCTGTTCCTTATACGGATTAAATTTTTTGCTTAAGCTGAGAATTTTAGTCATGCATGATTGATGCTGGAGCAATCTTCCTTGAGGAGAAAAAAGTAGTGCTTATTGTTCATACTGCAGTACTGTTTACAGAATTGCAGCAATTTCTGCTCACATGCACTGTAGCAATACTGTAGCCCAACATTTGATTATCATTGCATCCTCAGCAGCAATACTATTGATCTCCATTTGACAAAGCCTTGTCCCTACTGCTTGGGTCGGCTTCATGAATCCTGTTTCACCATAGTTTGAGCTCATTTTGTTAATTACATTACTAAGAAGTCTCTAAAATTTCTTGACGGTGCACTATACAACATTAATTGGTTTTTTTTTGTTTATAAAAAATGTTCAACAGTAGATTTGAATGGGGTAATACCATTCCAAGCCTTTTGTTTGAGTCATTTTCTTGGTATTGATTCTAATGGTTGCACCTACTTTGCTTGCAATTGTTATCATGTTCTAATATTCCTCGAGAAGTGAAATCTTGAATCTATAGCATGTAAAATGGTCAATACTTAAATCAATAATTTTCTCTTGATTGAAGATTTTAGAAAGGTTTATCACCAAATGCTTGTGTCATGCTTAAGAAAAATTGCAAAATGGTTAACCACTTAGTCGTTTGTTTTTAGGTGTGATGTTTGGCTTGGTAAAACCTTTTTGGTTAAGTGGGGACCTGAGAACCATGAACATGAACATGAACATGGACATGTTGACATGATAATTTTTAAAAACTACAGGACATGGCATGCTGGAAACACAAAATATATTATTTTATATATTTATTATATACCGTATGCATGAATGTTTTATTCAAAGATCAACAATAATAAAAAACACAATGTAGCACTAATTCCTAAAATGTGACCAAAGTTTTGTACAAACTTGTAATGTGTTTCATTTATGTGTCTAAGCGATGGACATGTGTATCTCCCCAATGTTCAGAGCGTGGCTAGGAGGTCTATAAAAATTTCAAAAATAATAGGACATGTTTGGATGTGGCTACATGTTGGGAAGTGTCTGACAAGTGTCAATGTCCGACATAGACCTTCTTAGAAGTGTCTACTTGTTAGGTGGTGTTGCCCTTGCAAAATTAGTTTTCCATTGTTCAATTTCTTGTGGTGTTTTACGCTTTCCTCTTCCTCGCATTTTTTTTCTTCATAAAACTGTTTCATGCTTTGGAATTTAGTTAAGAACAAATACTTGGTGTCATTTATATGTTGTAGCTGGTTAACATGGGTATAATTATGTTTCTGATCTACAATACACTCATTGCAAATTAGAAGCTAAAGGATTTAAAGATATGATTATCTAATTTCTTAAACCTTCAGGCCAAAAGAGATAGAGATGCGAAGGATAGAGAGAAGAAGAAGAAGGAGAAACAAATTCGGGAGAAAGGAAGAGGATTTGAAAGCAAAAATGGGAAGGATGGTACACACAGTGATAATGCTGAAAAAATTGAGTCTTATGGTTTGGAAGAGAACAGAAGATCTGGAAAAGATAAGGATAAGAAACATCGGAAACGTCACCGACATTCTGTGGATGATTTGAGTGTGGATGAAAACGAGAAAGACCGGAGTAAGGACTCCCACAGGCATAGCAGTGACTGGAAAAAATCAAAGCAGGTATCGTAATTTCTCCTTGTTTATCATGTACCTTTTTTTAAAAAAAATTGAAAATTGATAATTGAAAAGCAGTTTATGCTGTAATTTGGACACTGCCAAAGATGTGATAATTTTTTCATTTCTGTTTGGTAGATGGAGCAGCGTAGCACTTCTGAACTAGATAGTGAAAGCAGGCACAAGAGACACAAGAAAGATCACCGGGATGGTTCTCACAGAAATGCTGATTATGAGGAGGTTAAAAACAGGCAATTTGGTGAGGATGGGGAAGTTTGGTAGTTACTTTCATAATGATAGATTCCTTATTCTTGCTCCTATCTTGTAAATATCTTCCATAATGACTAGATAGGTATTTATTTAGTGTACCTGATCATATTAACAACAAATATTTTATTTTCAATATTGTGTTTCTTGTCCGTTTAAATTTCCAACTTATATATAGCATTTTTGTATTGGAAAAGTAGCAAAAATGGCACACTTACTAGGTGGCCGGATTTTTCAGATGTATTTGCCCTTTGGTTTATGTGAATCAACTCAAAGTCATGGTTTTGATCAATGACTCGAGAACTAATTACAATCACTATGCATGGGCGGAGCTATGCATGAAATAGTGGGTTAAATTGAACCTATATTGTTAAAATTGATGTATTATTGATTTATTGTATTGATATATTACAATGATTCCTATATATAGAAGAGATGATGTGGGAAGAGAATAGGTGAGTGTGTAGTAGGTATGGAGTAGGTGAGGAGTAGATGGAGAGTAGGTGAAGTAGGTGAGTGTGTAGTAGGTGGTAGTGGTAGGTGTGTAGTAGGTGAATTTTAACAGCCCCCCACAAACTCAAGGGAGATAGGAACTAACCAACTTGAGTTTGGAGAGAGTAACAAAACAAGAAAATACATAAAAATAAAAGAGGATAGGAGACGACAGTTTACAGAGTCTTGTCGGACTCATGAAGGAGTTAACTGGAATCAATGTTGGGACAGTTTACAGAGTCTTGTCGGACTCATGAAGGAGTTAACTGGAATCAATGTTGGGACAGTTTACAGAGTCTTGTCGGACTCATGAAGGAGTTAACTGGAATCAATGTTGGGACAGTTTACAGAGTCTTGTCGGACTCATGAAGGAGTTAACTGGAATCAATGTTGGGACAGTTTACAGAGTCTTGTCGGACCCATTAAGGAGCTAACCGGAATCAATGTCGGGACAGTTTACAGAGTCTTGTCGGACCCATGAAGGAGCTAACCGGAATCAATGTCGGGACAGTTTACAGAGTCTTGTCGGACCCCTAAAAAGTCGCACTCTCAAAAGGCGTGCCCAATCCATCAAAAGGCGTGCCATCAAAAGACGGGCCATCAAAAGGCGCGCCCATGTTGTCGTCGAGCGCCGAACGGCGCATGATGCGCGTGTCTGCCTCTTCGTCAGGGTCTTTATAAACTGAGGCGGAGGCTGTGCTTGAGACAAAAGCGAAGACAAAAAAACTTTGTGAAAAAACTTCTGAAAAAACTCTTCATTTTCTGAGAGAGATATTCGTTTTCTGAGAGATTGTCTCTAAGAGCTGCAAATCTTGAAACACTCTGTAATACTCGGTTGCCCAGAAAATGGCCTCTTCGTCCCGTAGTCTGCTCACTCTCTTTCCAGACCTCAACGAGTCAACAAGAGAGATAACTGGTGCGGTGGCCCGTGAACCTCAACCAAACACCCCTGGTTTTGCTCCGTTGAACTTTCCGATGCGGTCGGTGGAGCAAAAAATGGCAGTGCAAACGAATATTGAGGCCAATCAGTATACATTGAAGTCATGTGTGGAGCCATGAGGCGGTCACAAAACCTGTCGCACCGGCTGCGAGTAGTAGACAAATGAGGTGCAGCAATTAAACGCCCAACTGGCTCTGCTCCAACGCATGTATAAGGATGCGCGAGCAGAGATAGTGTGCTAAAGGCGGAAATAAGGAGCTGAAGCGGAAGGCCACGTTATGTTCCGATTTGGAGTCTCGCCATATGCTGTAGTGGAGGAGCAGGGTGGAGTGATCGTGCTAGTGGAGTGGGAAACACGGAGGCAGCACCGTCAAGGGCGCCCAGGACGGAGGCAAGAAAGAAAGACCGGGAATAGGCGAAGAAGTGAGGTCGGTTGTGGCCGGCTGCAGAAAAGCAAACAAAGCTGTTGTTTTTTTTTTTTTTTTTTGTGTGTGTAAATTGTGATCGGGGGATCCCTGAGATGAATAAAATATGGTTTGGTGTGCAAAGCTATATGGTATGAATGGAATTGGAAAGAATTAAAAATAATGTGAAAGAAAAATAAAGAAAATAATATAAAATATATTTAAAATCAAAAATGAAAGATGGGGGAGAAAATAAATAAAAATAATGGAGTTGGAAATCAAACGGAGGAGAGATGATGATTTTTTTTTTTTGAGTATAATATAATAAAAAGAGATATATATATATATATATATATAATAAAGAAAGTGGGGAACAAGAGTGTAATGAAAAGAAAAAGTATAGGTTGGAGAATCTGAACATCGTGGGTCACATGGGTGAGTAAATGAAAAAAAAAAATAAAGAAATGAAAAGAGGGGGACAAAAGTTGGTGTCTGGGTGTGATGATAAATAAATAAGAAAAGAAAAGAAAGAAAAGAAGAGAAGCATCCGAAGTGGGTTTGAAAAAGTAAAGTGATGAGAGAGGAATTATGAATTATAAATTGTTGTTGCTAGTGGTAGGGCCCACCAGCACTATTCACTTCAAAATGGTGGAATGGTGATATTTTAAAATGGTGGAATGGTGATATTTTATGGGTAATGGTCAATGTGATTTGGAGTGGGGCTTGTAAATCTAGTGAGCTTGAGAGATTTCGGGTGTTGGCGGCAACAGAAAGCGGGGCTTCTTCGCAGGATGAGGACTCGAGACCTCCGACAAAAGGAGCTCAATCTTATCATCATCAGCCTCAGCTTCAACAGAGTTGAGGATATTGTTGAGATCATCGGCGGAAGGATAGGTGTTGCCTCCCAACACGGCCAGCAAATATGCAGCTACTACCTTCATCTCTTCTTAAATTCCTTCCAGAAAGGCTATGGATCTGCAGAATTGGGAGGAGACGCAGCTTCCGAACACAAACAAGGAGAAAACAGAGGCACGATGGCAGATATGGTTGCTGCGGTGCTAGTGCCGGTGGCAGAGGAGGAGATATCAATGATTTGCCCATGGATGAGAGTCAGGCCCCAGGTGATAGAACGAAATCACTCTGGATCTTAGTTTGGGCTTCAAGGACCATGATGGCCACCCTGATTCGGATGTAAAAACAAACTGAAGTAAAGATAGCAAAGAATGTGTTGATCTTTGTTCAGGAGTAAAGGTATGTGTAGACAATTCTAACGGACTTAGGTTGAGGTCCGGCGGGCGGCCAAGGCGAGGTTGCCGCCCGCCGGTAAAGCGAGAAATACTAAGGTCTTAACCTTGCTCTGATACCATGTTAAAATTGATGTATTATTGATTTATTGTATTGATATATTACAATGATTCCTATATATAGAAGAGAGGATGTGAGAAGAGAATAGGTGAGTGTGTAGTAGGTATGGAGTAGGTGAGGAGTAGGTGGAGAGTAAGTGAAGTAGGTGAGTGTGTAGTAGGTGGTAGTGGTAGGCGTGTAGTAGGTGAATTTTAACATATATATATATATATATATTTTTTTACAATATATATATAGTCACTCCTTGATCTTCTTCAATTATTGAGTAATAGAAAGGATTGGAGGACAAATGAGCCAAGTCTTTTAGGTGAGTGTACAGGTTGAGTTTATTATCTCTGTTAGATATTGAGCTTAGAAATTACTCATGAAGGCTTACTCTCCTCTTTAAGGTTTTATCTCTTATGAGTTATTTGAGTTCTTACATGGTTATAATTGCTCAACTTGTCTGACATTATCATTTTATTTTATTAATTTTTTTGGGTACATGCTAGAACATCATATAAAAAAAATAGTGCCTCTACTTGATGTGAGCACCATTTAAAAAGTCCCTAACACTGGGTTTTTGGGTGATCTAGCTTATTTACTTGTATATTTGATTGATATATATTATCAAATTTCCAAATCAACTCATTCTAAGAATCATCATTGTCAATCTTTGAATTTCACTCAATGATTTCGTGTTCTATTATTTTTCGTTATTGTCTATCTAGAATTCGAAAGTATGGCAATTCTTGAAAAGAAACTTCATTTTAGGTCGAGCTTGGAATGGTTGCCACTAGTGTGAATGTACCACATAATATGGTATAAATAGATTATGTTGGTTGTAAATAGTGTGTTGTGTACAATGCAAAGAAAAAGTCTTACCTTGGCCAAAAGAGAATATTTAGATAAGAGAGAGGCACATCTTGCAATCTCTCCGTTTTCTCAACCTTTGTAATCTCACAATTCTAAAATCCACTACATTGGAAATAATATTTATAAAAAAAAAAAAATTAAAAAAAATTGTAAATTTGTGTCTATTAAAGGCAGCTTAACCAAATCCACAGAAGTCACTGTGACAGAAAGCCCCTAAGATTGTGTGCCAACCAGCAAACCTTCTCAACTTCAATCACTAAAATGGAAAAACTATTCAATGCCCATGTTGCAATGCTCCAAACCTAAAGGCAATGAATAATTGCTCAGATGGAAATATTATTCAATGTCCCATATGGCAATGGTGCAAATCAATTCAAGTCATCGAGTGTACATGGTGTTTTTAGAAGATGGTAAAAAGTTGATTTTTTTAATTTTTTTGACTTTTTTTATGTGAGAGATGATATGACAAAAAATGAGTTAAAAATTGACTTTTGATTTTTTTTTTTTTTTAGGTTTCCAAAGATAAAAAATTGTGCAAAATTAATTGAAAGTTGGGTAGGAAGCTAGCTGTTATCTCTCTCTGTCCACATTTATGGAGGCCTATTAAATTATTCAATAGTCTTGTTAGTATTGTACTTCACTCTATGAATACAAATTTAGGATATAGGTGCAATCATTCACTAATTTCACATATCAGTAAAATAAGATATTAAGACTCTCAGATAATATAAGATATCTTCAAATAAAATCTAAATGACTTACGTACCATTTAAACTTACCAACTTTTATTAAGCAATTTGAAAATAAAAAAAATAAAATATTTCATAATTTTTTATTTATCAAAAGTGTCACATAATATATAACATGATATGCTATATTCTATCTAATAAGTTTTCGCCTATGTAGTATCACTATTTGGCCTTAAAGTTGGCAACAAATGCTCTGACCAGAGAAGCTTTCTTACATCTTTCATATTTTGTCAAACACCTCTCCCATCCACGCATATGCTTTATGTACACACTCGTACATCTTTTTTTTGGGAAATTTTAATTCCGTGTAGATTTTTAAGAAAGAATTATAAATAAGTGATAAAATTTATATATATTAATAATTAAAATTAAAATTTTTTTTTATATCTGTATTAATTTTCTCATAATACAATTGACAAATAATATTTCCATTTTTTCCTTCAAACCCACCAAATCCGACCACCCACCACTTAAAATTCCAACAAGC